TGGACATGCTGGTCTGTTCTGGGTTTGCTGCACAATCCAATCATGCTTGAGGTTCAGGGCTGCATATTCTCTTTCAGGATTTGCTGTTAGAGAGCAGAATTCATTGTTCAGTAAATTGTAAGTTGTGCACATCTTTAAGCAGCAAAACAGCCCCAGATTATTACACTACCACCACCATGTTTGACTGGTGGTATGATGTCCTTTAAATGGACTGCTGCGATGGATGTAACGGGACGCAAGTTCAACTTTTGTCTAGCTAGTCCACAGAAGACGGGCCATCTGAGCCTTTGTGTTCTTTTTGGTCAGCAGTGATTTTTCACCTTGGAACTTTCCAATGAAGCCATTTTTTGCCCACTCTTTTTCTTATTGTTGAATCATGAACTCTGACCTCAACTGAGACAAGTGAAACCTGCAGTTCTTTAGATGCTTCTCTGGGTTATTTTATGACCTCTGGATGAGATTTTGATGCACTCTTATGAGTAGTTTTGGTAGGTTCAACAATTTCTGGGAAGGTTCGCCACTATTCCAAGTTTTCTCCATTTGTGGCTCTCTCTGTGGTTGACTGGATCCCATATATACCATAATTTAAAAATAGCATTTTTAATTTACTCAGGTTATCTTTGTCTAATGTTAACATTTATTTTATGTTCTGAAACATTCAAGTGTGACAAAAATACAAAAAGCTAAGAATTCAAGAAAAGGGTAAATACCTTTTCACTACACTGTATTTAACAAAAACTAAATCAAAATGGATAAGCAAATTAGTGAAAACAACGGGAAAAAAAGCCATGAGATTCAATGGGTAGTAGAACCACCTTCAGTAGCAACAACACCAGTTCACTCAAATAACCATCCTGACATCAGCTACAGACATGCAAATATGCAGGACAATGGAAAACTTTGCCTAAAACTGAAACAGAAAATAACTGCGTGGAAAAGGTGTCCAAAAAAAAAAGTCCAGGAAGCAGTGAGTCATGTCTCCAAAATAAGCCTGACACATTTTCTGTACCGCAAATATGTGTTAGGGCAGCAGTCTTGATTAGTGGAGCTTTAGAGATAGCTGACAAGATAATGCATTTTTAAAGCTACAGCTTTGAACAGAAGAACACCCACAGAGCACGCAGAGCAGACATGTCCGTTGGCCATCAACAGACATGTTACAGATGTTTTCTCCAAACACCAAATAAAAATAATTAGAAATAATAATAATAGCAGAGATGTGCATTTTTATAAGAAGATAAAAGTTTACCTTATACTCATCCTGAGGGAGTTCCTGGTTGATAGCCACAATTGTGGAAAGAGATTGTGCCATTGGGTGTCACATAATATGCAACAGCAATGAGGAGCAAAACTCCAACGGCCACATCTATTGCCAGCATGACTCCGAAGGTTGTTCGAGCCCCTGTGGGAGATGGGAAATGTGTTAACATTGTCGCTCTCAGCTCATCTTCTCAGTCTTTCTGCTCTGTCTGTAATAAACTATCTTGTGTGGACTGAATCAGGGTGTTGTGTGCTTTGTGGTTGCTATCACTACTTTGGGCCAAAGGTGCAACTGTGTAACGGGTACAAGGAGGAGGAGAGAGAAGAAGTGAAGTGAGTGTGATGTAAACAGTTTGATGGACATTAAAGTGTGCCTAAAAACGAGCTATCGTCTCCAGTGTTATATACAAACGCAACAAACTACACATCCCTAAAACAAATACCAAAACAATTAAAATCCCAGCACTGGTCCCATGACGACTACTCAATGGAGAATCACAGCACAAAATATTATGACAATAAAAAAAGTATAACGAAATAAGAAATGTTATGAATGTATCAGAAATACAGAGATGCACAGAGAAAAACTTCAAGAAATGAAAATACAATTACAAGTGATGAAAACTCACTGAGTACAGTCACACTATGTGACTTTGAGCGCATCATGGCAGGACCTTGTTCTCCTGGCCACAAGTTTAGTTTTGCTTCACACCAGATCTCAGCTCCATCATCATCTC